CCCCAGAGCAAGAACCCCCTCCAACATCGGCAGCACCCCCAGGAGCCGCAGGACGAACACCGTCCTCCACACCAGCACCCCCAGGGGCCAAGAGCGGCGGCGACGGCGGCGGCGGCTGCGGCGAAAGCGGCGACTGCGGCAGTGAAGGCGAAGACACCGGGGAAGGGGGACGCGGCAAGGACGGGCCGGGGGTACCACCAGAGTCAGCGGACTCCTCAACGGGGACAACCGACGGGAGGGGAGTGACGTGAGAGACACCAGACGGGGCAGGGCGAGGCGGGAGAGGAGCAGGGGCTACCAGGGGAGAGGGAGCAAGGAACAGGGGCGGGGCAACCGGGAGACCGCGGTGAGGGAAGCGGCGGTAGAAGGAGACAGACTCGTCAAAGGTGACGTCACGAGAGTGGAGGAAGCGGTGAGACGGCGGGTGGAAGAAAAGCCAGTCAGACGAGTCCAGGGGGAAACCGAGGAAGACACAGGGGACAGTGCGGGCAGTAAGCTTGTCCGTGCCAGAGGCACGAACGTGAGCAAGGCAGCCCTAGACGTGGAACGCAGACGCGTCACCCGGGGGACCCAGTCCAAAGGAGGGTCGGCGAAACCTGCGGCCGCTGGGAGCGTGGCCACAAGTTAAGCTGGTGAGCAGCGTAGCGAATAGCGAACGGCCACAGAAAATGGGGGGCATCGGCATGAATCATGGAGGTACGGGCGACCTCCATGACCAAGCCGATGCGGCGCTCAGCAACCCCATTCTGCTGTGGCGAGTCCGGCAACGTGTACGACTGGGTGATGCCCTCCGCACGACAGAACTGTCCAAGCCGACCAGAGGCGAACTCGCCGCCACGGTCAGAGTGGAGATACAACACGGGGAGACCGCGGTGAAGACGCGCAGCCACAACCCACGGGAGAAGAACGTCGGGCACGTCGGCCTTCCGCTTCATGGGAAACACCGTGGTGTAGCGCATGTAGTCGTCGACGAGCACAAGAAAGTAGCGCTCACCACGCGGTCCGGGGACGGGGGCAGGGCCCCAAACGTCTAGGTGCAGGGTCTGAAGGGGGGCAGTAGCAGGGCGCAGCGAGGAGGAGTGAGGAGCACGGCGGAGCCGGCCCTCGACGCAAGGCGTGCACGGTGGCGCAGTCGAGGGAGGAAGCGCAGGGAGCGACGCAGGGAGACCTAAGACAAGACCGTGCTGGGACATGTGACGCAGACGTGGGAGAGCAGGGTGACCTAGGCGGTGGTGCCAGAGAAGGGACGGGTGAGTGAGGGACCGACACGAGCAAGCTGCAGCGACCTGGGAGGATGCACCAACCGGGGGGGAAGCGGTGTCGAGGGTAAACAGACCGGACACCGGGTCCCGGGGGAACGTCGCAAGGGGGGAACCTGACACAACCTCAGAACAGACAGCGAACCGCTCGTGCCCGGGGAATGTGCTGGTGACGCCGAGGTTCTGGAGACAGCCGACACCAACCAGGTTCCTCGAGAACGAGGGAACGTGGAGGCCTGTAAGGGAGCCCGAGGGAACTGCTGGACAGGGAAGGGACGTAGAACTGCGAGCGACGACAGGACCCGCAAAGGGGTCAGCGAGAGAGACAACAGCAGGCGTAGCAAGCGGCGTGAGCGCGGAACGATCGCGGACGAAGCAGGCAGAAGCACCGGAGTCGAGAGTGAAGGATAGCGAAGCTGTGGCGGAGGCCGGGAACGGAGCCGGTGCAGAGACTAGGCGAGGCAAACTAGGCAGTCCTACGCTTGACGCAGCAGGGGAGGCTAAGCTACACAAGGGTGCAGCACCTAATCTAGAGTACACAGGGTAATAAGATCCAGCAACACTAGAAGCGTCAGAATACAAAGCATGCAAAGCAGCACCTAGCTGATCCATGTCTAACTCAAAGATCGGCACGCCCTGGCAGAGCAGGCTGTGCCAGTCGGGGAGGTCCGGGGCCGGGCCAAAGCGACGACGAAAGAGATCGTCGAGGCGGCGGAAACAGCGGGCAATCGGGTGCGGGCGGCGGCACAGAGTGCCGCGAAGAGGCCCGGTCTGAAGCTGGTACTGGCAGGTGACAGCACCGGAGCCGCCGGTAGACACCGAGCTGCGCGGGCCGCCACCACGGCCACTACCTCCGGAGGTGCCGGGCCAACCAGGCGGGAGACGGGCCCACGGCTGCGGCGACTGCTGCTGGGACGGCGGCTGCTGCTGTGGCTGCTCCTGCCGAGGCTGGGGCTGCTGCTCCTGCCCACCGGTGGTTGTCCCCTCAGGCGGACTACCGTCACCACCACCACCTGCGCCACCGCCCCTACCTCCCTGGCGACCACGGCCACCGCGACGTGAGCGCTGCTGCGGGTGGACCGCAGCAGCCGTCTCGGTGAGAGGGGTCGCCGTGGCGACCGCAGCCAAAACGTCAGTGAACTTGCACTGGGAGGGGGCATAGCCGTGAAATATAGAGACTGCCGGCGCACCGCTCGACTGAGCGATAGTGCGCTGGCGAGTCTCAATCTCGGTGGGGTGTCGACAAAGGCGGTGAGGGTGAGGTCACCCGGGTGCTGGCTAAGGAAGTGATCGCGAGCACTAGCGAGGCGGTCTGGCAGGCGCATGGCGATAAAATAGAGCGTCATGCAAAAAGGGGGGGGGAGCGCAGTGAGCTGGGCAGCAGTGCTAGCAGTGCGATAGCGGGTCTCTAGGGCACGCAGGTGAGTGGCAAAGTCTGCGACGGTAGGGAAGGCTGCAAGGTCTGGGAACAGCATCGGGAAAAGCAAGCGGCCAGCAGAAGCAGACGTGGGTGTGGAATAGCGAGCAATAACGGCGTCTAAGTAAGCTTTGGCCGTCTCAACAGTAGCAAACCGCGAGCGCTCAGGCACAGGGAGGGCGTGGCTAATAGCAACCTGAGCGACTGTATCGCGGGAGTCCCAGACCGCACAGGCAAGCGCAACAGTAAAGAAGGTCTCACGGGCATCAGAGAGGGGAGCAGGTGCGGGGGGGCGGGGGAGCAAGCCATCGACATGGACAACCAAAGAGTGGCCATCCTGACGCTGACCTGGAAGATGGCGGCGGAGATCGGGGAGCCAGACGGCGAAGTCAACCACATGGCCCTCGGCGTCCAGTCGGAGCACGAAGTCAGCCATCGTGCAGGGTCAGCGGCATAGCTCCACAGCTCTGCAGGGACACAGCGACGCAGGGACACAGCGGCAGCACTCTCCAACACGGCGGCCGCGAGGCGCCCCAGCGCTGGCGAGCAGAGTAGACGGAGCTCGAGGTGGCACGGCAGGCCGAGCAGGCACGAAGATGGGCCGGGCGGGCAGTGGGAGAGGCCAAAGAGATGCGGCGGGGCCAGGCAGGCGCGGCGGGGCCAGGGAGGCGCGGCAGGGCCCGGCGGGCGCGGCGGGGCCAGGCAGGCGCGGCGGGGCCAGGCAGGCGCAGAGGGGCCAGGCAGGCGCGGCGGGGCCAGGCAGGCGCGGCGGGGCCAGGCAGGCACGGAGGGGCCAGGCAGGCATGGCGGGGCCAGGCAGGCACGGCGGGGCCAGGCAGGCGCGGCAGGGCCAGGCAGGCGCGGCGGGGCCAGGCAGGCGCGGAGGGGCCAGGTAGGCACAGCGGGGCCAGGCAGGCGCGGCGGGGCCAGGCAGGCGCGGCGGGGCCAGGCAGGCGCGACGGGGCCAGGCAGGCCGCGACGGGGCCAGGCGGGCGCGACGGGGCCAGGCAGGCCGCGACTTGGCCTAGCGGGCGCGACGAGGCCAGGCAGGGCGCGACGGGGCCGGAGCGGGAGCGACGGGGCCTAGGAGGCACGACGGGGCCCAGGAGGGGCGCGACGGGGCTAGGAGGCACGACGGGGCCCAGGAGGGGCGCAACGGGGCTAGGAGGCGCGACGGGGCTAGGAGGCGCGACGGGGCCCAGGAGGGGCGCGACGGGGCCAGGCGGGCACGACGGGGCCAGGCAGGGTGCGACGGGGCCTAGCGGGCGCGACAGGGCCTAGGAGGCACGACGGGGCCCAGGAGGGGCGCGACGGGGCCAGGCGGGCGCGACGGGGCCAGGCAGGGCGCGACGGGGCCTAGCGTGCACGACGGGGCATAGGAGGCGCGACGGGGCCCAGGAGGGGCGCGACGGGGCTAGGAGGCGCGGCGGGGCCCAGGAGGGGCGCAACGAGGCTAGGAGGCGCGACGGGGCTAGGAGGCGATGCGGCGGGGCCTAGCTAGGGTACGGGCGGAAGCGGTAGGTGGGGGATTCTAACCTACGCGTGATACCATGTCAAAGTAAGAACTGAATGATCAACTAGAAGGAGAAACCTAGAACAAGTACTAGTTGGTTGTACTCACTAGAAACATACCCCAGTCTAGCCTATAACTTCTACATAGCTAATATGTATAAGTTGACAGTGTACCCGCCTTTACGTTCGAGAAATCATAACTACGACTTCCATGATTGCGGCATTCTGCTTCGGATTTGGTATGGAGGCACTGTAGCTCACGACGATTTGCGACGCACTCTGTTTCTGTTTTCATTTTATTTTTCCAACCGTCACAACATGTACAATGCTGATTACGTTTTTTTACTGCAATTTCGCGTGTGTCCATGGAAGTATGCCCGCTGTCCACGAAAGTATGGACCGAGTCCACGGGAGAAGCAAAAGTTTGATGTGCAGTCCATGAAAGTAGGGCCTGTCCACGAAAGTATGAAAGATTTCGTGGAGAGTCCGCGGCAGTAATTTTCCCAAAAAGTCTGCAATTTGGGGGCCTGCTAGGAAGAGAGAAGGGGGGATACAAGTACCGTGCAAGGTGTTGTACTCCCTAAGAGCTGACCTAGCTAGGATATATTAACACAAATAGCCTAACTAAGATATACATTAGTTAGTTGACACTTTTACCAAACGTGCCACTAAGGGCGGATTCCTGCGAAGTTGGATGCAGCTTCGCGTGCTACCTAACTGAACCGCACCGGAATTCAGTTTTCCGCACTTGCAACACCTGTACTGCGCGTGTTGGATCCAACTTAGAAGGAATCCACCCTAATTAGATCCCCTCCCAACATTTCAATGTATTCTTTATTACCTCCATGGGGTGTTCAATACAAGGGAATACGATAGGACTTAAGGAGAGAAGGTGGCTGCAATAACAGTGATGCTTAAGTGCAAGAACTGTGTAGTAGTGTTGAACTTGAGAATGGCACCTGGAGGGATTATCACCGAGTCATTGGGTGCACCCAGGGGAGGGAGTACCTACGAGGGGGAATTGGAATGGTGGAGTTGAGAGACAGAATGGCAATCAATGATAAGGTGGAGGTGGGTAAGGTTGGAGGATGGGAAGGGTAGTGTGAGAGAGAAGTGAGGGAGAGAAGAAGTGTGGGAGGGAGGGAGGGAGGGAGGGACAGACGGACGGACAGGCGGACAAAGAGAGGGGGACCGGGAGGGTTGGAGGAAGGGAGAAATGTCGAGAGGATGGGGGAATACTAAAAGGGAGAGAGGAGAGAGCAGCAGGGGGGAAACACGCAGAAGGAGTAGCAAGCAGAGGAAGGAGGGCACGGCACGGAGGAAGGACCAAGCAAGTTAGCCTGGCAAGGAGTAAGACACACGCCCATCTCCAAGATGCTCATTTGTTCACACAATGCTGATGTGCAAGGCATGGCATGAAGAGCTCGGACCCGGAATTGATAATTGTCGTGACTGTTTCTTTCATCTTTGCCATATCCAATGAACTGCAAGCGCGGAATGAGGACGTAGGAGCGAAATCTGTTCTTCCTGACGATGTTGATGGTCAGGCGAGAGATGGCCCGCTGCTGACACGTGTTGTTCAGAATGACCTGAGAAGGCGTGGGAAGGGGGAGGAGGGAGGAGGGCAACGGGAGGGGAGGGGCGGATGGGTGAGGGGAGGAAGGGATGTGGCGAGGAATGGGGGGGGGGGGGAGCAGAGCCTGAGGAAGAAAAGAAACTTAGAAGGGGAGAGAAGCTTAGAAGGGAGAGCAGGAGCAGGGGGAGCAGGGAAGGGGAGAGCTCTATGTAGAAAAGCAAGCATGGACTGCAGTGGCGCTAGCCAAACTGATTGCAAGGTTGGGCTCCAGCTACAAGACCCAGCTGAAGACACGATAATACGAACTAAGATCAAATCAGAGGTGGTGGGTAAGATGCGAGAAGGGCAAAGTGCGGAGGGCGGAGGGCAGAGGGCAGAGGCTGGCGGGCAGCGGGCAGAGGGCGGAGGAAGACCTCATAAGGGTACACGGGATGAACCGGGTCGATGGGGAAGTTAACTTGGTCATAGCGGAACGTCGTCACCACCACTGCTTTCTCGGCGCTGCCGTCCCTGCACTCTGCACGGCCATGGGGTGGATATGGGGAGATGGGGGAATGGTGATAGGGGAACATCAGAGTATGGGGTTCGGCGATGTACAAGGAAGAGCTTAAGTGGGAAGAGGGCACAGAAAAGAAGGAAGAGGGAAAGTGCGGAAGAGAAGGCATGGGCAATGGGGAAGGGGGAAGAGGGAAAGGGGAGAGGGTTGCAGGGAGAGGGGCGAGGGAGTGCTGGAGGCTATTGGCTTGACGCTTCTGCCGGCCCACCTGCGGGCAAAGTTAATGGTTGTGATGGTGCTGCCACAACCGCCGCAGCACCCGAGGCGAGAACCCGATGGAAGGGACGAGAGGACCCCGAGGCGTTGGCCACTGTGGCCGTCCCCACATGTGGTTGCAAGGTGCTCAGTCCCTCCCACACGCTGCCGCTGCCACTGCCACTATCAGCGCCATCTGCAGCCGCAGCAGCAGCCACAGCAGCAGCAATGGCAGCAGCAGAAGGGGCGGCACAAGCAACAGCAGCAGAAGGGGCAGCAGCAGCAGCGCTATGGAGGTCCATGCGGTCACTAGAGCCATGCTGCTCGCCTCTCTCCCCTCTCTCCCCTTCAGCCGCTCTCAGCATCCGTCTCATCCATTGCTGCTTCACCCAAACCCTCCTTTCTGGCCCCGCCGCTTCTTCCCTAACAATCCCTCCCCTTGGGTCCCTGCTGCGCACCAGTTCCCCCCCTCCGACGTCTAACGTCCCCCGACCTGGTGCTGCCTCCCACAAAGTTGCCACCCCCACCGTTCCAGCCAGCATCAGCACCAGCGCTAGACCGAGCCAAGGCGCGGTGGAAAGCGCGCGGCGAGAGAGAGCCCGCGCCATGGTCAAGGGGGAGAAGGAGCTCACGGAAAGGGGCGGCTGAGATGGCACAAGTCTGCGTAGGGCAGTGGGCAGCAAGGCGGCACAAAATGAGTGGCGGGATTCGCGGAGCGGGTGAGAGTGGACGATGCTGCCGCTGCGACTCACATCCCCCGTAGGTGCTGCGTTGCTCCCTATGAGACGCGGCCAGGGGGTGAATGCATCCGAAAAAACCCGGGCCTCAAACTAGCTTTCGGGGGGCGGAAAACTATCTTTGCTGGGAGTATGTGGGCAACATACTTTTCGACGCGACGCATACAGGGCAGCCGCGCGCAAAATTTCCAAACAAACTGCAGCAAATGGAAGTGGTTCGGGAGGACGTTCGGCAGTAAAGGTGATTGGCTTTAGCAGCTGGGACCGCGCCTCTGATTCTGGCGTGCATATTTCCCGCGAAACAATTCCTCCAATGAAATTTCGACGCGTGTTTTGTACTGTTAGTTCTTTACATGCACGCGCGATTCAATCTGCAGAAAACGAGATAAATTATAACGGAGTTTCGGGTTTCGGACTGATTCGGTTTTTGTAATTTTATCGAAAGCTCCTACTTTTAATAGGTGCGTAAACTGTTAATTAAAACGGGCCAGCCATAATACCACATAGCTAAGCAGTTTTTTTCCAGTTATTTTAAAAGCACAAAATCTAAACGTGCATTAAATCATCTGCAAGACAGATTGCACGAAGCACTCATGAATCCTAATTATTCATTAAAGGTAATAATTCTCTACTTGCGAGCACGTGGCACTGCAGACAACCCATCTGCACTTATAAATACTACATGGCTCTCCGAAAATGCCCAAGCCTTCACATTCTCGTCCCACCATGGCCCATCGCCATCCGTGCCGGCGGCAATTGCTTCAAGCGCCCAGTTACGGAGGTGGTTATAGTACACCTCCACTTGGTTGTGATTAACGCAAGAACTTTTGGACTTATCTTGGTTTTCATGGAGCACTCGATGCTCAACCTGCAAAGTTCCAACAGCACACATGTTAAATATGAAGGTGCATGCGGTCTTTTATCTGAAAATACACTATTTTGTTCTCACCCCATGGAGCCAAAATGCGAGAAGCTTCAGTGGTAAAATGATGGTAGGTGATGTCGGACGAGAAAAAGAGTCTATGATCGCCACGACGAATAGAGCCGTTCCGAATGGAATGTTGCGTGCGCGCCTGTGCCACAAAGACATGGTGAACGTGGCGGCGCCTGAGACGGGTGATCATCCAACACGTGTGGGAAGAGACATGATAGGAACAAGGTTCATGTGGTTGTAACAAACAAGGGATGAGGGAGCAAATAATGCATGCATAACAAGAGAACAAGGGCGTCTGGAGGGAGGGAACGATTACGACTGGAGGAGAAACATATATAAAGGGAGGAAACTGCAGTGGGGGGTGTGAATGGGAGATAGCTGCTTATGTGGGGTCGTATGCAATGGTATTAGTACCCAGAGTGGGTGGGGGAGGAGAGTGTAGCAATGGGTGGGGGATTGATGGATTCGGGTCGAATGGACAGATGAAGGAGGGATGCATGGATACTGGAGGGGAGGATGTATAAGAGGGACGAAAAACGGGGGGTTGAAGGCTGGATAAAGGGATGGAGAGGCAGTAGAGGAGAGATGGTGGGATGGAGGGGTGGAGAACGGGATAGGGAAGGATGATGGACAGGAGAGGAGGATGGATTTGATGCACAGGGAAAAACAGGGAAGAACAGGGAAATGGACAGGTGTGAAGCATAGGAGTGGGTGTTGGATGAGAGCGGAGGATGGATGGGAGCCGAGAATAGATGGGAGATGAGGCCGGATGGGAGATGAGGACAGATGGGAGATGAGGACGGATTGGAGATGAGGACGGATGGGAGATGAGCACGGATGGGAGATGAGCACGGATGGGAGATGAGGAGGGGTGGGAGATGAGGACAGATGGGAGATGAGGACGGATGGGAGATGAGGACGGATAGGAGATGAGGACGGATGGGAGATGAGAACGGATGGGAGATGAGGACGGATAGGAGATGCGGACGGATGGGAGATGAGGACGGATGGGAGATGAGGAGGGATGGGAGATGAGGACGGATGGGAGATGAGGACGGATGGGAGATGAGGACGGATGGGAGATGAAGACGGATGGGAGATGAGGACGGATGGGAGATAAGGACGGATGGGAGAGGAGGAGGGATGGGAGATGAGGACGGATCGGAGATGAGGAGTGATGGGAGATTAGGACGGATGGGAGATGTGGAAGGATGGGACACGAGGACAGATGGGAGATGAGGACGGATGGGAGATGAGGACGGATGGGAGATGAGGAGGGATGGGAGATGAGGACGGATAGGAGATGAGGACGAATGGGAGATGAGGACGGATGGGAGATGAGGACGGATGGGAGATGAGGACGGATGGGAGATGCGGACGGATGGGAGATGAGGACGGATGGGAGATGAGGACAGATGGGAGATGAGGACGGATGGGAGATGAGGATGGATGGGAGATGAGGACGGATGGGAGATGAGGACGGATGGGAGATGAGGACGGATGGGCGATGAGGGCGGATGGGAGATGAGGACGGATGGGAGATGAGGACATCAAGTATACTGTATATGGATATGTGTGGAGTTGAAGGCTTAGAGAGGAAGGGATTAGATGGGGGTTTTGATGGTCAAGGGTTGTTGGGAGAGGAACGGTGGCAAGGTTTGGGACAACCGAAGGTGCAACTAAGGGGTGCAGGCCAGACCAAGCCACAGATGACTTACCAGGGGCACGGTCTAGCTTGAAAGTTTCGCGGGTAAGTGTACCGTGCTCCATACGTCGCACCGTCGGGCGGTTGACCAAGAGGTCAAAGGCCTCATAGACATGCAGCCGTCCCTTAGTCAGCACCTTGTTCCGCCACGTGGTGATGCTCGCGCGGATTGTGTCCCACCTTGTTGTGTCAAGGGCGTACACAAGCGTCAAAAACATCCTCTCCTCCTCGCCTCTCCATCCAAGAGCTATGAACAAGGCATCGAGGATCTTGTTACTGGTAGGCCACATGGTGAAGCCTTCGTTGCTTGCGAGGAAGAAGAGTATTTCGATAGCCTTGATCATGTACTCCTGTGGACGGGCGGGGTGGCACAGGACACAATAATCAGTTAAACCAGCCACTCAATCCGTGGATCCTATCTACCAAAGCCTGCCTATAAGAATGCATTCCCCCAATCAGGGTTTAGCAAACTAGATTGGCGGGGAGACACGAAGCCTAGAGATGGATGTAGGCAAGAACGTGTCGAGGAAAGCACTTACAGAAAGGTTCGTTTTGACACTAGGGACCGATTCGAACGCCGAAACGAGCCGCTCGGCCCACGACTTCTGCTTCGGCGTCATTTGCGTGTAATCTATAGGCCGCCGGTCAAGATACTCGTCTGCAAACTCTCGCTCGAAATTGCGCTGCCGACGCGGCCACATGTTGCGGCCACTAGGCGCCAAAACCGGATCAGCAGTTCCGACCATCACCCGCACAACTTCCCGGTGTTGCAGCCCACCGCCGACCGTGCTGGGCATGCCACCCTGCTGGGCCAGTGCTGGACCCATACTGCGACGCGTCAACTCCGCCTCCAACTCCAAAACCCGCCGTTGCAGCTCTTGATTCCGACGACGTTGCGCTTCAAAGATGGCCCGGGTAACCGTATCAGTTGCTGCACATGTGGTGCCTATGACAAGCGGCACTTCCGCTGTCAAAAGCTCATCGCCTGGGGCCTGCTGCGAGGTACATGGCACGGAGGTGGGGACATGCCTCTGGCGCCGGCCCTGACGACGAGAAGTCCCAAATAGGGGGGGTGCGGAGGGCAGTAAGGGTGGGGACATACGAGAGGGTGAGGGATGAGAAGCGGAGGGGTGGGAAGGGAGCACGGCGGAAGTGGGGGGAAGGGAGGAATGGGGCACCTGGGAAGAGGAGGGCTGATGGGTGGAGGAGGGCAGCTGCCATGCTTGTCCTTGCTGGTTGACCTCCGCCCTTGTCGGTTGATCCACTGCTGTGTGTGGACCATCGACAAAGTCACCATCGTCCCACTCCATCTCCTCCGAGTCAAGAAACGAGTCGTCGTCGCTCAGCCAATCGCGGTCTTCGGCAGCATGGACCTTCTTCCCTCTCACCACACGCGGAGAGCGCATGGCCTGCACGGGCGCCTCAGGTACATGTGTATCACGTTGGGCTGCAAAGGGGTTGGGGTTTGCGGCAATGGCCGAAGCCGGGTCCGAACACGCATCATGTTGAGGTTGCACGTGTGGGTGAGGAGCGGGAGCAGAAAACGCAGCTACGGGAACACGTAGGATCCCTGCGGTTGGTGTCGCAGTGTTACTGAAATGGGAATCGGAGCGCAGAGGTGAAGGGCACAGCTGGGCGGAAGAGGAGTGAGGGGAACAGGATGGTGGTTGGCCAGATGAAAGTAGAGGCGATGAAGAGGGCAGCAGGGCGTTGGAGAGCACATGAGAGGAGTGCAACTGGTCAGGGTAGATCAGAGGTGTATTGCAGCGGCTGAGAGGGGGAAAAAATGGTGGAGGGCAGCTGGGAGGAGTGCATTAGGTGGTTCGAGTGCACAGGGGAGGAGTGCTGCTGGGCGGAGGAGAGAGGGGGGAAAGAGTGCTGAGAAGCGGACGGGAGCGGCGGGGAGGAGTGCTGCTGGGCGGAGGATGGCAGGGGGGAGGGGTGCTGCTGGGCAGAGGAGAGCAGAGGAGAGGACTGCTGCTGAGCGGCAGAGTTCTGTTGGGCGGCGGAGGGCAGGGGGGAAGAGGGCTGTTGGGCGGCGGAGGGCAGGGGGGAAGAGTGCTGTTGGGCAGAGGAGAGCAGTGGTGAGCAGTGCTGCTGGGTGGCGGAGGACAGGGGCGAGGGGTGCTGCTGGGCGGAGGAGAGCAGGGAGGAGGTGTGCTGCTGGGCGGCGGAGAGGAAGGGGGAGGGGTGCTGCTGGGCAGAGGAGAGCAGAGGAGAGGACTGCTGCTGAGCGGCGGAGTTCTGTCGGGCGGCGGAGGGCAGGGGGGAAGAGGGCTGTTGGGCGGCGGGCTGTTATGCATAATGAGTGAATAGCAGTGGGCTGTTACGCATAATGAGTGAATATCACACTAAGATGAATGTATGAGTTTTGATAAGCCACTTCAACCGTAAATGTCTCTACAAGTATACGCGTGCACACACCTTAACAAAGCATGGGAACTTCTTACGGGACCTGGTAAGACCAGGCATAGGGTGTAATGGGGTTCTGCTGGGATATGGGGCGCTGCTGGGAAGTGGTTAAAACAGGGATTTCTGGAAAGTACGGAAGTGTGGTGCTGCTAGGATATATAGAAATCTAGGCTAGGGTCATAACGGGGCTGTGCGTAACAGGGCGGACGTATCGTCACGTATGAGGCGAATCCTCATCCCTGGCATGCGGATACGCCACGTCAGCACCGGATTTGGCGCCGTGTCATATGAATTTGTCGTGCTACGGGGTCAAATCCGCAACCCTGGAGGTGCCGACCATGGAGAAAACTACCCTCGCCTCCTCCCCAAAGTGAGAGAATTTGGTCTCGCTAAAGAATTTGCATACGAGGGCAGTATTCACTTCAGTGACTGCACAATAGTTAATCTTCAAAAGTATGTTCTGCACCCAAGGAGTCTGGAAACGAGAGTGGGGTGAAAGGAACTCATGTCTCACCTGACTGAGTGCACTTGGTGGGCAGCTGTCGAGGCTTGCGTGGAAAAAAATGTGCAGCATAAGGGGAGCTTCGATATGGGTTGGGATATCTTTGTCCAATGTTTGTTGGCCAATCCGCAAAGTAGAAAACTGGTGTAGCACGAACTGGTGATAGGAAACCTGCGGCCAGGCAAGTTCTGTTGGCCAAGCGGTTGTTTCAGGTGTGTCCACACTGCCAGGTGACAGGAGCAAACACACCTGGGAGAGCACCTTCACTGTCATGAACATATAATGGATGAGCGGATGAAGAACAATGAGTAAACAATCTGGCCAGGGTACAGTACTAGGCTCACCTTGGTCACGACCAATTCGGTAAGGCCAGGTCATGCTGCCTCTGACTACACCACATCTGTCCATCCTCACCCTTGAGAGAGCTTTCTGCTGGCGCGATATTGGACCACAAACCTGCAGCAGTTCACCCAAGCAGCAAATCCGCCCGGTCCTTGCTTCTGACGTGTGTGGTGCGGCGGATACGGCGCTGGAGACGCTTCCTCCCGCATTGCAGCTGAACGAGCCAGAGGTGAGGTTGCGCCAGCGGACCTGCGTGCCAGGCAAGGGTATTCGCCGTGCTGATGGGGAATCCGCCCGCCATCGCGCCGGATCCGACGCTGACATGGCATACCTGCGCGCCCGGCAAGGGGATTCGCCGTGCTGATGGGGAATCCGCCCGCCATCGCGCCGGATCCGGGGCTGATGTGGCGGATCTGCACGCCAGGCAAGGGGATTCGCCGCGCTGACGGGGAATCTGCCCGCCCTGGCGTCGGATCCAGCGCTGATGTGGCGGACCTGCGCGCCAAGGAAGGGAACACGCCGTGCTGAAGGCGAATCCGCACGACTGGCGCGTGGGGCAGAAGGGTACAGGGAAAAGGGAACCCTGAAACCGCATTCATCTCTTCCCCCTATTCTGGGAGCACCCAAAATCCCAGTTTCCCCCAAATCCCAGCGGCACAAGGGTATCTATGTTACGCTCAAACCCCACCTGCGCCCCATTAATATGTTACCCACATATCCTCATTTTGTGCAAAACTCAGCAGCACTCTATTTTCCCATTTTCCCCAAATCACAGGGGAGGTTTAAACGCATCCCTGGTTTCCCCCAATCCTTGTTATGTACCGGATCCCTGTTCTTCCCATGTAAAGCATCACCCCTCATCACTGCTTTTACCGCCTTTAAGGAGAAACCCATTTGCAAGTTTCCACACATCTGTATATTGCCCATATCCCTGCAGCTCAACCTTTTCTTTAGTTTCCCTACTCCAAGAGTTTTACCATCCTTGTTCTCTTAATATTGCTGCAGTGCCCCATTTCCTTGTTTCACTCACACCCCTGCTTTCCCCATAACCCAGTAGCACCTTGTCTTCCTTTCTTCCGCTTTGCTCTGTTTATACCACATCCCTCTTTCTCCTCATATCCCAGCAGCTCCACATCTCCAGCGTCCCCCCGTGACTCCCTCTTCCTCATATCCCAGCAGCTCCACATCTCCAGCGTCCCCCCGTGACTCCCTCTTCCTCATATCCCAGCAGCTCCACATCTCCAGCGTCCCCCCGTGACTCCCTCTTCCTCATATCCCAGCAGCTCCACATCTCCAGCGTCCCCCCGTGACTCCCTCTTCCTCATATCCCAGCAGCTCCACATCTCCAGCGTCCCCCCGTGACTCCCTCTTCCTCATATCCCAGCAGCTCCACATCTCAAGTGTGGCCCCGTGACTCCCTCTTCCTCGACGGTGAGTTCCTCAGCCTGTTGCAGCCTCGTTGCCCCTGACACTCCTAGTAGGTGCAGAGTTTAGGCCTGTATACCTTGCTAGTGAAGAATTTCCCATTTCCTGTCGTGTGATATCTTGCTACTGTTTTACTCACCACCTGTTCTGCATCCTTTCTGTGATCGTTTTCCCAATCTAAACCCCTTTTGGGCTCGCAGGAGAGTCAAGAGTCCATGGACTTCTACGCATGCCAATTTTGCAATAAGCGCTTTCGCGGCCCTGCCGAAGTGTCGCTTTTCCAGAGCCCCATCCGCGGGGCATCCTCGTCCAGCAGTATGAGGGGGTGTTGTGGGACCCACCAACAGCGGAGAACTCAGCTGCTGCGGACGCTGAAGCTCCGGAGCTGCAGGAGGAAGACCTTGAAGGGGAGGATATTGGAGGAGAGGAGGGCCTGGTAGGGGAGAAAGGATTAGCAGACGAACAGGCCATAGAGGAGGATGAGTTCGTGCCTGCAGCTGCTTATTTCGCAGAAGAGGACGACGAGGTGTCTAGTTTTGACACTCGCTTCGAGACTTCTAGGTTCCTAACACAGTGCAATCGTGGCGTAGGATTGTGCGGGCCCGACGTGGACGCTTTTCTTCGTCTTGTAAACCATCCCGGCTTTGTTAAGTATGATTTGGGAGACTGGAAAGGGAAAGGGGCTGTCGAGAAGTACATGCGGAGGAGGAATCGGGCGTTGAGAAAGTTAAGTTCAAGACCACGCAGGTCCAAGTGACAGGGTGGCCTAAGTCATTCGCCGTCAAGTACCTAGACGGGGTAGAGGTAATTTCTGGCACGCTCTACAATGGTGTGTAGGCATTGTCTTTCGTTAAATGGACCTATACTTGGATGCACAATGGATATATTGTTCACTCTACTTGTGAATATTTTGGCAGTTATTGCGAAGCATGTGGGCAGACCCAAAGAATGCTCAGGGCTTTGTACATCACGCAGCCCCATGATGACGTTAAGCTAATGCAGGGATTTGTGTCTAACTGTGTTAGCATCCAAAGGTGGGAAGCTGCATATGTACGGCCAGGCCAGCTCCACGCCCGCCTCCTGGGCGGATCACTCGCGGCGACACGGGCAATGACGGCCTTGTCTTGCCGAGGGAGGACGAGGGGGGTGTGGAAGGGGGTAGGGATAGGAGCCACGATGAGGGGCGAACCGAGGATGGTGTCACCATGTCTGCGTCAGACGTGCCGCGCAGACTGAGGAGTGGTGCTGGCGATGCGTGTCGCTGGCGATGCGTGCCGTTGGCGATGGGTGCCGCTGGCGATGCGTGCCGTTGGCGATGCGTGCCGCTGGCAATGCATGCCGCTGGCGATGCGTGCCGTTGGCGATGCGTGCCGCTGGCGATGCGTGGTGCTGGCGATGCGTGGCACTGGCGATGCATGGCTTTAGATATGCGTGGCACTGGAGATGCGTTCGCCCTGCAGCGGTGCTAACGGGGTGTGGCGGAGATAGATCGCGGAGCCGCACAAGGGTGGCGTCGCATCGCCCGTCAAATGAGTGAGGGCACGTCGCACGGCCTTCTGTGTCCTGGTCGCCATTTGCTCGCCACCTCACGTATCGAGGCGGCCTTTCTGCACACACCGAACGTCGCGCGTGCCACTGCCTATGCGTGCCCTTGACTGGCCATCTACTGCGGGTGTGAAACCACTCTGGGTACGGTGCCGCCTTTCATTGCCAGCGCACAATGGCAAGACGCGCGCGGGAGACCTGGCACTATGACACTATCGCCTTGAGCGCCGCTGCTACTGGCTTGGCGTGCTCAAAGGGAGTGCAGCCAGGGGGAACGTGGGGGTCCGTTACGACAGACAGCAGGAAAAGGTCGCTCGGCTGGGCCGCCATGAGACGAGCGAAGGCGGGAAAATGTGAGATGGGCGAGGAACTAACGTTGAATGACTGGGGAGCTGTCACGGTGCCGCATGGAGTGGGAGAGGGAGGAAGCAGTCTAGTCTATCCTCCCTCTGCTTCGATGGATGAGGAAGCTGTAATTGTGTGGATCGATCCCAGCAGTTCTGGTTCAGCTCTCTCACATTGGTCCTAACACAATTAACAGACATCGCACACACCAAGACAGCAGCGCATGGGTCGTTTCGGGCAGGTGTACAGTATTGGCGAGACGGATTTTGGGAAGCCCCCAAAACTGCAACGCACACCCACGCGGTCGAGGTCATGCTGGCTGTGTTTCAGGGCAGTGGATAGTTTAGGCACTTTTTCTTTTAGGGTTTAAGAACAGGGTCTGGCGGGGCGATGCGATAAAAGGCGGTTGGGTAACGGGTGACTGACACGATTAGCCCGCTAAATGTTGAGAACGCACACTCGCACGCGAACTTCAGAATGGGCTCTCGAAATCGCCCCCCGACATGTGCAACGTAGAGTCATCTGACGACCTGGATTCAAAATACTGTACATGTCATATGCCCTGAGAGCGACTTCCTTTTACGCCCGGGAGTATCTCATAGGCATTTTATCCTTAAAGGACCTCTCCTTGTAAGCAAAGTGTACCCGTCTCAACTGAACAGTAAATATGACAGTCAAGTCGGATGATGTAAGACCGTCCAATCATTTTCTCCTGTGCTTTCAGAGCGACCACGCCTAGTGGTCCGCAAGCCTCTGAAAATCCAGATGTGTCAGGCTCGCCAACCAATGTCGAATTTCTTTTTTCCAACAGATCGCTGACGGTCCAGTAGGATTACGACTGCAAACCACAACCAATAGGAAATAGAAAATCCGTCAAACCACAACCAATAGGAACGCACCCAGGAGCGCGTCAATGAATCTGTTATTCTTTTGAAACCAGGCCTGTGGAAGTGAGGGCAATTACACTGCTTCGTCAAGAAAAACATGGTGAAATTTCGACGCCCGAGTTTTGAGTAGGGGATGGACTTACCCTGAAAATTTTAATGTAGAAGTTCACACTATCAGAATTAGAGAAGTGGATGATAGAGTGAGAGTACACACAGATATACCTAAGTGTTGTACCCTCTAAGAGGTGACTCTATACAGTCTATACAAACATGACAAATACACATGTTTGACACACCCCCTAGACTGCATAGGGGAATGTCCTAAACAAACAGCTCAGGGCGGCACTACTAGTCCAACCTCTGAGACAAGGGTCTGAGAGACCAGTCCGAAGGAGTACAGACAAGGCACGAACAAGAGCAGGGCGGCACTACTAGTCCAGCCACTGGGAGAGGACACAAGTCCAGTCTGAG